GGTCCCCGCAAGCCGTATTCGGCCAAAAACCACCACAGTTAACCGGAAGCTGGTCACGTACGGCACCCCACGGCTAGTGCAGCCCATGCAAAAGCAGTGGGAAGGGCTCCACGCCCCGTCCTCGGATATGGTGGAGATCCTTACGCCGGACGTCACAACAGAGAATCTGGAAGATATCGGCACGCAAACCCGTAGACGCAGCAGGCGTACCGCCAGCGAGTCCTCAGACGAGCTCAGCCAAGAAGCCCCCACACAATCGCAGAGAACTGGCCCTATCACTCGAGGCGCAGCGAGCGCGCAATGATAAGCCAAACGCTGAAAATCCTGCAGGCCAACTGCCGTAAATCGAACGATACGGTCATGAAGCATCTCTTCGGTGAGGAAGGGGTGCGGAAGTGCGATATCCTGGCTATCCAAGAGCCTGAGATATTCAATTGGATGGAACCCGAGATGGGCGTCCATTCGCAGACACTTGGTGGCCGGTTTCATACACTTCTCCGGCCTACACCCACAGCCGTCCGCGAGGAAGCAGCACGCACGCAGCCCCGTGTCTGCTTCTTCGTATCGAAAGGGATCAACCCGAAATCGTGGTCGATCAGACACCACAGCAGAGACGCCAGCACGCTGACCGTGGAAACCGGGGCCGGCCAGCTGCATGTGCATAATATATATCTTCCGGGGAAGTTCAACGACCCAGAGCGTACGCAGGAGGTGAAAGAAGGTCTAGCCGCGCTCTGTGTAGCCCTACGCGGCTACCACAGTGGGCAGCATGTCGTGGTTGGTGATTTCAACCTCCACCACCCGCTGTGGTCGACGATCCAGCAGGCCCAGCTGCCGGACGACGACGCAGACGACCTGATTCGCATAATGGGTGATTTTGGCCTAGATCTACTCACAGAGAAAGGCACAGTCACATTCGAAGGGCCTGTCTATGGCAATATTGTGCGTAGCACGATCGATTTAACGTGGACCGCGGCGTCTCTCGCGGACCGTGTGATTCGCTGCACTCCATGCCGCCAGTGGTGGTACGGAGCCGACCACGTGCCGATTCTCACTGAATTCGACGTCCGTACCTCGCCAGCAGGGGTTAGAGAGCGCCAGGACTGGCGGGCCACGGACTGGGAGGCCTGGTGTAAGGCCCTTGAGAGATATATCACGAAGCAAGGGTGGAGCATATCGGGTCCTGGCTGGGTGCTCGATACAGCTGAGAAAGTGGACGAAGCTGTGAAACGGGTGATGGACGCTGTATCAGCGGCATCCAAAGATACTGTCCCCGTACGGAAGATCCACCCCGGACGCTCATATCCCACGTATACGCCTGCACTCGCCCCGCTGAAGCAGCAGGTGCGTCGGGCACGCCGCACATGGCAAAGTAGCCATAACGAAGAGGATCATGAAGCTTTTCGGCAGCTGCGGCATCAGCTCGGCCGAGAAAGCAAGAAGATGGGCCGTCAGGCACACAGAGAGAGAGTGGAGGAAGCCACTACGTCTATCGACGGATTTTGGCGGTTAGCAAAGTGGGCAAGGTCGCGGGGGGTCCCCCGGTCTTCACATACCCCCACACTCCGCGTTGGCGAACGTGAATTTACCACAACGGACGAGAAAGCAGCGTGCTTCCGCACAGCACTTTTCCCACCGGCCCCTACCGCAGATCTCTCCGATATCGACGGATATACGTACCCGGACGCCGTGCCGATGCCAACTACCGTTTCCCCAGCAGAAGTCGAACACGCCATCCGCAGGGCAACCCCGTACAACGCCCCGGGCCCCTCTAGCATACCGAATGCTGTGTGGAAGCACGGGTTGGACGTACCAGGATTCTCCACCTTTATCACGGCCATCTTCAACGCCTGCATTATCCTAGGCTACTGCCCACGGGCGTTCAGAGATAGTATAACAGTCGTGATCCGGAAGCCAGGCAAGCCAGATTACACTAATCCGAACGCATGGCGGCCGATCTCGCTGTTAGAAACCCTCGGAAAGGCACTCGAATCGATTATCGCTACACGCCTATCATACCTTGCAGAGGAGTATGGCCTACTGCCAGAAACGCATATCGGAGGGCGTGGCGGCCGTTCCTGTGACCATGCTATCCACATGCTGCTCGAAGCAGTATACGACGCATGGAGAAAGGACCGGCGGGTCGCTTCGCTTCTCACGTTAGACGGTAGCGGGGCCTTTGATAACGTCTCGCATATACGACTGATCCACTGTCTACGGAAGCGACGCATCCCGGAGATTATCACAAACTGGCTGATCAGCTTCTTATCAAATCGAAGCACGACCCTCTTACTGCAAGAAGGACGCTGTGCAAACGAACCGGTTGCTACCGGGATCCCACAAGGTTCACCACTATCACCAATTTTGTATCTTTTCTACAACTCAGACCTGATCGACGATATCCACGCAGCTGCTCCCGGCCGGGTGCTAGTGACGGGATATATCGACGATATCTGCATCCTTGTGTGGGGCGTTTCCCCTACTCGCAATTGTCAATTTCTCTCCGAACTACACGCTGTTGCTGAGACGTGGGCGAAACGGCACGCATCTAAGTTCTCTCCATCAAAATATGGTCTTATTCACTTTTGGAAGAGGGGTGCTGGCGCGCTGCCCCCGTACGGCGTCCATCCGCAGCAGACACCCGCCCTTACGGGCTCTGTCACGATTCAGGGCGTCGAAATCAAGCCGGTGGCGTCCCTCCGCTATCTCGGGGTCATTCTTAACGAAAACCTCACAGCCCGTGACCACCTACTCCGCTGCCGCAAACGAGCTGCAGTACTGACCGCGGCCCTCCGTTCTATTGCTGGCATGACCTGGGGGGTCACGACGCTCCACCTGCGTCGCATGTGGACGGCTGTGCTGTTTCCACAGATTAGCTTTGGCTGTTCTACGTGGTACACGAAGGGGGCCTACCAGGCGAAGACGACAGAGAATGAGGTGAACCGCGCTCTCGAATCCATGCAGTATCAAGCCCTTTACCGTATCGCCGGCGCGTTTCGTACGACGTCCCGGGCTGCGCTACAGATCCTTCTCTATGTCCTACCAGCGCCAATCGCGACTCAACGGCTAGCAGAACTCACATGTCTCCGTATTCATACCCACCCACTCCGCACTATCTTCCGCAGACGTACGCCAGTCGATAGGGCAACGCTACGGCTATACTGCCAAGACAGCCACCGCAATCTCGGACCTATCCAGAAAGCTATGACTACCCCGCTGCAGCGCCTTGAGAAGCATCTCCAAGACCGTGGAATCGACGTGCACGACCTTGAGCTGATCAAGCCGTACGCAGTGGCCCCGTGGTGGCAGCCGCCAAAAGTGCAGATCGCCGCAAGCAAAGACACAGCAATCGCGCAGCATAACGAAATCCTTAGGGCCGCTGGGCCCTACGGGCCTAACACCGCAATAGCTTATACCGACGGTAGCAAGCTCGATAACCCAGCAGGCGTAGGGGCTGCTGCCCTCACCTCCGTGGGGAGAGAGGTGGCGGTGCTACACCCCACAGATTCGATCTACGTGGCAGAACTCCACGGAATCAAGCTCGCACTCCGTCGATTCGACACGGAGATAAGCTTTCGACAGACGTGCGAGGGCTTCCGCGCAGAAACAGATACTACCGATACTACCGATACCACCGCTACTGCTACGATCTTCACAGACAGCCAGGCTGCGATTCTCGCTTTCGCACGCCCGCGGCGAAGCTCAGGCCAGTACGTGCTACGAGAAATCGCGGAGCTACTGGACCGAGTACAGCCTGTATGGCAGGTCCGCATCAACTGGCTACCCGGACATGTCGGGGTAGCCGGCAACGAGCGGGTCGACCAGATGGCCAAAGAAGCAGCCGAATCCACAGCCACGCCTACGACGACACCACTACTCCTTACCGCAGCCAAAGCCACCTTACGTGAGCAAACGTTAGAGGCGTGGACACGCGAGTGGACGACCTCCGCCCACGGTGAATACGTCCGAGACCTCTTTCCAGAGCCCACAAAAGCAGTATTTCAGCTCCATGAGCCACTCCGCAGACCCACTAGCGCTGCACTTATCCAGATGCAAGCAGGTAAGCTGGCCCTACCAGCATATCTGTCAACCATCTCCGCCTGGCGGGACGAAAGGGTAGCTCGGGCACTCGAGAACGGGGTGCCGGACCTAGACCCGTCGGCCTGCCACCACTGCGAGCGTGGTAAGATGGACACGAAGCACGTGCTGCTGACCTGTCCCCGCTTTGCTACGCTCCGCGCCAATACCCTTGGTATCGACCGCCCCCCGGGCGTATGGACGTCCTGGCTCACTGAGCCAGAGCGCGCACCTAAAGCAGCTTCCTTCATACTAGCCACACGCCTTCTCGGCCAATTCCGCCACCTACCAGAGACATACCACACCATAGCAGCCGCGTAGCGGCCACTCATTCCTTGGAGTGCCCACGGGCCTCCAGAAACCACCGATCCACTAATCTCCTAGGCCCTTCGGGCGCCTAGGGGCCACTGCGTTATTCGAAGACGGAGGGATAACACACGATCGAACACCATGGGAGATGCTTGCGGGGACGTCTCAGGCCTGCGCACGGTCAGCTGATCACTTTGCTTCTACCAGCGTTAGCGGTATGTGAGTACGGGTAAGGTTAAACTGCGAGACACGATCTGGCGAGCGAAGACGGGCGCGTTGAAGGGGTGCAAGTGAAGGAGAGAGGTTGAGCGTACGCGGAGAAGGGGCGTGCCGAGGTTTTGGTGTTTGCACTGTTTGGCTATTTTGGTCTTGGCGGACCTGTTTGCACTATTTGCCTTCCTTCCCCCCCCCCCCCCCACCCACCCTATCCGCCTACCAAATAGCCTACAGTTGCATCCGATTAGCGTTAT